AAGAGGCTCAGGGCAGGCCTCATTGCTCTCTACAACTTGCAGAAAGGAAGGTGTGGAGAGCTGGGGGTCAGCCTCTTCTCGCAGGTAACCAGTGATAGGACCAGAGGGAATGGCTTCAAGTTGCACCAGGGGAGGTTTAGGTTGGAAATGAGGAGACATTTCTGCTCAGAAAGAGCAGTCAGGCATTGGGACGGGTTGCCCAGGGAGGTGGTGGCGTCACCATCTCTGGGAGTGTTCAAGGGACAGTTGGACCTGGTGCTTAGGGACATGGTTCAGGGGATGACATTGGTGGTGGGGTGATGGTTGGAGCAGGTGATCCTGAAGGTCTTTTCCAACCTTTGTGATTCTGTGATTCTACGAGCCCAGGGGAGGTTCAGCCCCTCGGGAGGAAGGAGAAGGCCGATACCTGCATCAATGCTTGCCTCGGTGCTACCTCCCTGTGGCTTCCCTGTGGGCTGTGGATGCAAAGGCAGCAGCCCCGGGGATCCAGTTACCTATATATATATTTATAGATATGTACCTTGGGAGGCAGCATCATGCAAAAGTCAGGGCTGTGTCTGCTCAGGGACCGCTAGTCAGCAACCGACGCTGCATGGTTAGAAAAAGTCCTCTAATGGTCTCATGCTGCTTTGTAAGGGCAAATTTTGAGAGGGACAGGAGGAAAATAAAGCTGTTGAGTGAATGTATTGCCACTCAATGATTCCTCACTTTTTAAGTCATCTTGGATACTTTGGGGATGAAAAGGTGTTGAACTATGTTGCTACAAATTCCCAGAGACTGCATCACGGGGGCAGCATTGCAGCACTCTCATTTTTGAACACGCCTAGCCTGTTGCTTCCCAGTTTCTAAACCAGTAGGACATACTCTATGAGCTATTAGTGTTCTCAGAACAATCCCTAAACCCACAAAAGCAGCAGCTCTCACACCGTGTAGAGCCACAAGCCGTAGAAAACTCCAAGAGCCGCTGTGGAGATGGGCCAGGGCCCTGCATGGCCCAAGATTTGCACAGTTCACAGTGGCAAAGGTAATGACCACGTCCTGCATTGGGGCAGATCCTGCTTGTGGGAATGTTACAGCCCCACAGCGATGCAGCCGCAGGTACCCGAACATGGCTCGACCCTCGAGCGCTTTCCAACTGTAGCTGCGTGATGGGCTGGGCAGGGAGAGGACGCATGGAGCCCGTTATGTGGGACACCATGTTAAGGGCCGTTCTGATCTGCACATGGGAAATATGTCTCTAGGGGTGAGATCTGCCGTGGATTTCCCATGGGATCCTCTTTCCACACACGCACAATCTCTTTGTACCGTGCCCGTCGCTCTGATCTCTGCCCCATCCCCTAAATCTGTCACGCGCAGCTCCACCATAGCTCCCTGCTTCCAACTTCACAGGCTGAAACCCTTCTGTGAAAAAAAAAAAAAAAGAAAAAAGACAAAAAAAATCACCCTGAGCCCCTGACACTGCTATCATTCTCCTTAAGTGTGTGTTAAAGACGCTATATAAAAATAAAATGCATCTTTTCTGATGACACAGAATCCTAGTCTTAAAATGTAATTTATAAGGGAGGCATAAATCGCGAATAGCTAGCATTGCTTTTGCTAACTCATGAGAAAAAGCCTTTGTTCTGAAATCTTGCCTATGGTGTTATTGGCGGCAATCATTCTTCCGAAAACTGCACCAAGTTTCATCCCAGCTCCCCTGCAGCCATCACTGGAGTCATTTCGCAGCGAGCCCTGCCTGCTTCCAGGCAGCGTTTGGTCAGGATGCGCTTGGGCCACAGGCGGACTGGATTTGGTGGGCGCCTCTCCCTCTGCTCCAGCACCCAGTGGATGGGAACTCTGGGCTCACTCCTGACCCACCTGAGGTTCAGCTGTTTTGGCTGAAAGTCAGCAACAATACAGGTGCACTTGGTAATACTTATTTATTTATTTTTTTGCCACCCAATTGTCCCAGCATTTTGAGATCCAGCTTTATAACTGTGTATTTTCACCACATAGGAAAATATTTACAAACAGAGCCTAATGATGTCAGATATTCAACTCGGCTGCAGGGGATTTTGAACACTAATACCTGCTATTTCCTTTGAAAACCATTGCCTTAGGTACCAATGATCTGCTCAACTCACCCCTGCTCTCTTCAAGCTCGAACCAAGTCCCCAAGCTCCATCCCCCGTAGCCATGATCTGCCCCCAGCTTTATGTACACGTCTATCAAAAATACTACACAGGTTAGTCTGAAATCTCCTGTTTGCAGAGCAGAGCTGCTCAGCTCCATTCAGCTTCGACTACACATGTTTGTTTTTCAAACACAGCTTAAACCACGTGCTCAGGAGGCCAACGGGGATATGAGCTGGAGTTTCCCACTTCCAGCCCCTTACAGTTACCAGGGCCCAACGCCTCTCTCTGGCACTGCAAAGGGAAGTTGCCTCTAAATTCTTGTTTGGGAGAAAAACAAAACAAAACAAAACACCAGGCTGCAACTTCCCATGTTTTCTGCTGTGCTGCTGACGTGGTGTCGGATGGGTACTACCTGCTCTGACCACCAGGACACGATTTATGGGGTGCTACACCACTCCCATCTCCTCCTCCCTTCTGCTCTCCAGCCACCTGCCCTTTTACTCTGACACTGAGACCTGACAGATCCACGGCGTTCAGAGACTGTGCCGAAATTCCTTCTGACTGACTTCCACTGAAGCCAGTGAAGTGACAGAACTGCTGCTGAGGGAGGCTAAGGACTGGTACTGGGTGGGGGTTTCACTGTCAGGTTGGGGAAAGAGTGCTCAGGAGCAGCGAGCTGATCCTGCTGATCCACCCCAAAGAGTGACACAGCCTCCAGAGGACGTATCCAGCCTTATTTACAATCAGATTCCTCAGGTGCATGGGTTTTGCAGTGGAAGCCCTTGCTGAAGCAGTATCATCCCGACGGACCCTGCATCACTGTGTGGCTGCTTTCTGGCCTCCCCATTTTCTTGCAGGAGAAACTGTGAGAAACTCCCAGAGCCAGCGTAAAGGCGAGAGGATGAGCGGGAAGGGTGCTGTGTCCAGGCCTCCTTCTGAGTCTCTGACATGTAGAAATCCCTGAGCAGGAGGAGAAAGCCCGGCAGCGCCGAGCACCACCTCGTGGCGTAGGGCTGGCTGGGATGGATCCTGCATTGCTGCATGGATCCTGCACGGATCCTGCACTGGGCATGCACAGTACCGCACCGCTGTAGGTACGGCATGCTGCTGCCTGCCCTACACGCTGCTGCATGCACTGGCCCCAAAGCTCGCTGCTATAGGGGCTTCCCATCCACATAAATCAAACCTCGGCAAAAAGCTGTGAGGAGTTTTACAGAAAAAGAAACCAAAGACTTGGAAACCTCTGCCAGAGGGTCACAATCCCCAGATTATTGCCTCCTCCTCTGTTCCAGCAGTGCTTCGACCCCCTTTGATCTGCAGCCCTACAGCTGTTCCAGCTGGGGCATCTCCTTAGTTTTAAGCAAAAAGTTTATTCTGAGGTTGTCCTCCCTTGGGATTGGGCTAGGAGTTTGTGATATTCCGGGGGTATTTTATGGTGTGTGTTTCTAGGACTAAGCCTTTACAAAAGTAAAATCATTTTTCCTTTAAGAAAGAAAAGAAAAGAAAAGAAAAGAAAAGAAAAGAAAAGAAAAGAAAAGAAAAGAAAAGAAAAGAAAAGAAAAGAAAAGAAAAGAAAAGAAAAGGGAGGCCTCTGTTTTCTCAGTGCTGAGAAGAGCTTCAAAACAAGCACAAATCTGGGGTACGACCCCATGGGGGGCTGTTGGGTATCTCAGAGGCTGCACAGACCCCTCACGCACCCCAGGGAGGGCAGCGAAGCCGAACCCCTTCCCACCTCCCTGCCTCAGTTTCCCCCAAGAAGGCGAGGGGCACGGCGCTGCCCCCACAGCGGTGGGAATCCTAAAAACGAGGCCCATTGTAGCGAAACTCCTCTCTGCACCGAGATTTATGGCACGACCACGGCTGCAAACCCCCAGAAGATGGCACTCTTGGTCTGCAGATGGAGCCCGGCTCGCCCAGGATGGGCCCCGCAAGCGAGCCCATAAATAGCCCTGGCCGGGCTGTCAGGCTGCCTGATTTAGGGACCAGGAGCAGGGAAACTGTATAAAGGTTTCTCAAAAATTAATTTTTTCCAAAAATGGGAGAAAGATGCAGCTAAGGAATTTTTTCTTGCCCCCTCCCTTGCAAGCCTCTTCCTTGCCAGGAAGGTAAACCTAACTCCTTTGCTGCGGCTGCCCCGGTGGGGTCAGGGGGGTCTCGGGGCAGGGGACAACCCCTGCTGGGGGCTGTCACATCGCCCTCCTGCTCCCCTGCCCCTTGGCAGCCCAGGCAGAGGACAGCAGTGACATGGGACAAGGTGCCTGCTCCCTGCCCTGCCAGAGCATCCTTGCCTCTCCAAGATCCGGGGAAGGAGGAGAACAACCCGAAGTGTCTCTCTCTTGTCCTGCCCCAAGCCTGTTCAGTGTAAATGATGCCCTAATTATTGAGCACTGCCTGCCCCCTATAAATTATGGCTCTGTTGCTGTTTGCTCCCTCAGGAGGAGGTAATTCTTGCAGCATCTCCACAGCTGCACGCCTTGCACAGCAGCACTGGTGCTGATAAACCATGCCAAAACATTCCCAAACAAGGATTTTTTTTTCATCATTTCTGCCTTGCATTTGAGCTACTACTTGTGCAATAAATTCGTTATTCACTGCTGTTCTAAGTGTTCTTTCTTGGTAAGAGATGCTGCTGTTAAAGCATTAATCACACGCCAGCCACCTACATTCCCCCTCCCTGCACACTCCTGACCCAGGACAGGGCAGCAGCGATGCCCGGCCTCCTGCAACACGCTGCGATGTGGCAATGTGCTGCTGCTGGGAGCTGCTCGGTGCCAGAGGGGGCTGCATTTTACTGGGCAAGGGAGCTGTGCTCCCCACGCAGCTGGATAGTACTGGGGTGGAGAAAAAAAATCAAGTAAAACAACAACAGAGGCTTTGTTCGAGATCTCACAGATGTCCAGACAAAATAAGGTGCTCTCTCCCAAAGAATATATGTGCTACATCTGATATTTTCAGAGTAGAAAGCAAAGAGAGATAAGTCTGGAGTGAGTCACTGGCAGGGCTGGGAGCAGGGTCCCAGGGTGATGGGAAATAACCAGTTTGTTACATTTACATGTGCTTCTTAGCACAGAGAACATCAATGCCAAAAGTACCTATGTAAAACAAGGCCAAGGGAGTTCAGACCCAGAATATTCACCACAGATCTCATCCAGGGGTAGATGAAGAGGAGAAGAAACCTTTAGGATAATGGGATTTATTTTAAGAAAGACTGTATTTTCAGTAAAAGATCAGAAGGGGAACAAATGTCTTCTACACATGCACTTATAGGCAAGCATCAAGGAGAGAAATTTAGAGGGTGCTTCTGGTTTAAGCCAAAAATGCTGGGGAAAGTACCCAAATTATTTTCCAGTTGATTTTAGGAAAAGAAAAGTGCCATTACAGCTGAGCAGCACTGTGTGCTTGGTGCCCTGTATTGATCTGCAACTCAGATCCCACAGTGTCAGCGGGCTCTGTGGGATTTCTTAGGAAAGGACCCCAAAATGCCCAGCCTCTTCCTGCACTGTTCTGGTAATGCCATCACCTCGGTGAAACACTTTGTAGTATCTCTGGAGGGAAGGAGAATCATACTGACAGTATGGAAACACGGCACAGAGCTGCCTTGTGTGTCATTCGAGGAGTTTGCTCCCTGGGAGGACACGCTCACCAGGTAGAGCTGTTTGACAGAGCCACTTCATCCTCCTGCACAGGGCAAGGGCACTGCCCACATCTTTGTCGAGGCAGAAATCCTCAGAATATGTGTTAGCCGGTAACTATAGCCTGCAGATGTAAAAAGCGTTTTCAGTAAATGAAACTGAAATATCAGATATGGGGGCTTAGTACCTTGTTACTTAAAAGTCAGTCCGTCCTCCCCTCTCCCCCCTGATATTTATCAGCTCCTTACTGCTGTTTTATTATCCAGTGAACTCCCTTTTCTTGCATTTGGGTTGTTCTTGCTCTGTAGAACACACTCAGAAACACCAAGCTGCTCTCCAGCGCTGGGGTGCAATGAGGTCTGGTGAGGGTTTGCAAATGCTCACAAAAACCGGCCGAGCCAGCAGCATTTTTACCTGATCTGAATCACACGATCAGGCCATTTGTGCAACATCCAGTGCTGGAAACGTGAGAAATGGACTTCTTTCCTCAGCGTGCAATGTTAGGATCCATCCTGAAATCCGACAAACGAAGCCATTTGCTTGCCTTAATCAAGGGATCTCGTTACAGGCTGGTCCTAGGAGCGAGTATTAAACATACTGTACTGTGGCATTATTTATGACTTGCACTGACACTGCATCACTCTGTTATCCATACTTATAGAAAAAGACCCACTGTAAGTATAATTAGTTAATAAATCACCATGAGTGATAAACAGAATGATGGATGCAGGTTTCAGTTGATCACTTTTTTATTAAGGGGAGATAAATCAGCATCATATTGTTGCTGTAAACCTTTCAAATTGGTCAAAAAATCTTGCCATGCTGAAATGCAGCAGGGAGGTGATTAACATGTCAATTGTGCAGCAACAAATTGCACCTGATAATTGATATCAATCAATCCCTTTAATTTCTCTTCGATGTAATGGGTGTTACACATCATCCCGCTCTCCTGCCTTTCAGCACAGCTTCTGCAACCTTTCCTCTGCCAAAGACCTCTCCAGGCTTCTCCTCCAGCCTCAGCCCAGCTCCCTGGGGCTGCTGCAGCTCCTGGAAACCTCCAAGACTCCTCCGGGCAGCCCTGCGCTGCTCTTGGTCGCTGCTGCTCCAGTCCCCAGCTATCAAGGCAGGGCAATGGAGTTGCTCCACCACCTTTTGGTTTTATTTTTGCTAATGACACCACCTGGTGCTCACAGCACTCAAGGAGCAAGGTCTGGCTCTCCACAAACATTGCTGCAACACTGCTTTACGTGGTGGGTGCCCTGCTCTGCACTAACCCGGTGCAAGCCCAGGTGCTGCTGGCCCCATATCCCCAGGGACAGGGAGCTGTGCCTTCCCTGCACCACGTGCAGTCACATTCAGCCAACCAAAGACCCACCGTGCCCTGTTCTCCCCTGGGAAGGGTCCCAGGGTCTTCCCCAAGCTCAGGACATCACAGGCACTGCTTTAATCCACAGCTCCCATTAAATAGAGATTTGGTCTCTGTTACCAAGCCAAACAGTTTCAAGTGCAAAATTGCACCTGCAGCTAAAGGCAGGGGACAGAAATCACTTGGGAATTACTTCAGCTATGGTTTTACATGACTGTAGGGAATGGGGAAGGCTTGCTTTGGAGCAGCTGGAGAATCTGGCCTAATGTACATGCTCAGGTGTCCTGGTTTCAGTTAGGACAGAGTTAATTTTCCTCCTAGTAGCTGGTAGGGTGCTGTGTTCTGGCTTAGGATGAGACAAGTGCTGATAACACCCCGATGTTTTAATTGTTGCAGAGCAGTGCTTACACCAAGCCAAGGACGTTTCAGCTTCTCGCTCTGTCCTGCCAGTGGGCAGGCTGGGGGTGCAGCAGGAACTGGGAGGGGACAGACCCAGGACAGGTGACCCAAAGTGGCCAAAGGGGTATTCCATCCCATCTGGGGTCATGCTGAATGATATAGAGGGTTGGCTAGCCGGGGTGGGGGGGCTGGCTGCTCGGGGTTAGGCTGGGCATCAGTCAGCGGGTGGTGAGCAATTGCATTGTGCATCACTTGTTTCGTACACATTATTATTAGTAGTACTATTCTCATCATTATTGTTATTATTATTATTATTATTTTCTGTCTTAATAAACTGCCTTTATCTCAACCCACAGGCTTCACTTTCCCACTTCTCTCCCCCATCCTAGAGAGGGAGGGGGGAGGGCAAGCAAACGGCTGTGTGGTGTTCAGCTGCTGGCCGGGTTAAACCACATCAGGAGAGAAGAGCAGCTCCGGGTTTGCCTCCTGGAGGGGCTGCGATACCCAGCTCTGTCTGGGGAACAGCACTATACACGCTTTCTGCCCTGGCCCCAAGTGAGGCTGTCACTTCTCTGTAAGACCACGCAGACCTTTTTCAGCCTGTGCGCTCTCATGGCACAGCCCAACCATTAGGAAGACATTGGAAGCAATTGTTCTTTGTACCATGCCCATAGCTCATTTGCAGTGGTCCAAGCCCCTGGTGCTGCCTGGACAAGGATCCACAGGGTGCCCTCGATCACTTCTCTGCTGACCCACACAAAGCTGAGCAGCTTTGCAGCATGCATGCTGAGTTGGGCTTGGCCTTGAGCTGCGAGGGGATCTTTAGGGCTAGTTCACATCGGCTGGAGGATGCCCACGTGGCTCTGCGGAGGTAACGGAGCAATTTCAGCTTCTGCACGTGGAGGATGTGGGTGGCAGCTCCAGCTCCCATCCGCATTCACTCTGCGGCTCTGGCTCCTTCTGCCTTGTTCTGTTTCATCATGGTCTCCCTCTGTGCACATCGAATCTGTCAGGTCTCATATCCCCATGACATAGCATCCTCTCATATTATACTTGCCATAATACAGAGAAGATGAATATTGCCCCATAAATGCCTCTTAAGTTAATGTAAAACTACATCTCGCTACATCATGTATTCAACAAGCCGTCATTTTCCTCATAAATTTTGAAGAGCATTTTAGCTTCTTGAAGCAATTGGCTTGTGCGTCCGGCTGGGAAATAATCACAGCCCCCGGCCCAGGCTGGGTGCGGGGCTGTAAATCAGCCCCAGGCTGAGCAGTTCAGCCCTCCCTGCCTGAGCACCCACGCCTGCTGCTGGCTGCTTTTATGGCCTCAGCTCAGCATCAGTGACCCTGCTCGGCAGCCAGCCCTCTAAATCAGCACCAGGCAGGTGTCACTCCAAGGAAAACAGCCTCGCTGCTCTCTTTGGGGTGGAAAATGAGGATTTCTGGTGCTGTAGTATTGGTCTGGTACAGCAGAATCATCACTCAGGGACGCGTTTGGCACTACAGGGCTGCGATGCTTGATTTCACTGGGGTATTCCCACTCCTGCTATGGGGTGAATACACAGTGCTGGAGACATCCAGCTTCTGAACGTGCTCCGGATTTGCCATTTTTGCACAGGACCATCAACCCAGCAACCTTCCTGCAGCCGAGAGGCACACTCCAAGCTGCAAACTGTGCGAATCCTTTTTGGTGAACACGACCGAAAGGAGAAACCTCTCACCTTGGATGCTCAGCTTGAAGGAAGCTCTGAAGGTTTACAGGACTTGCTTTAAAAACACCACGATGTAGAAAGATGCCCAAGCACTGGGATGGACCTGCCTTGCTAGAAATCAGACCATGAGCTGCTCACTCCTGCATTCTCCAGGGGTTAATAGAGATCAGGGAAGCAAGAGCAGCCAAACCCTCTTCCCAACACACACCAGCCCCTTTTTCTGGTAACCACCGTGACCTTTAAACCACAGCAGATGAGTTTCCAGGCCTCCCTTGGCGGTCATTCCCCCTGACAAAACTCATCGTGCACTTTGGCATAAATAGCTAGCTCCAGCTTCTCTTTTGGGGAGGTTTGTCAGGAATATGCAGGGACATACACACTGCATGCCTGAAGTACACTTCCACGCATCTTGACTCAGGCCCTTGTTTTTCCCATACACAGCTTCTGTTGCCAGAGGCAGCCCTGCTAACACCGATAGCATCTTTTCATCACACTACTCTCTGACAAAAATCCCCCTCTGCAGTTGAGGCTGTGTTTCCTGTGGAGCCAGACACAGACACAATTTTTGGGCAGCACCTCCTGGCGATGGCAAAGCCCACCAAACCCCAAAGCCCCTGTCTGTGCCCACCCCGGGGTCCCCGCAGCCTCCCTCGAAGGGAATCGATTTCCTCCTGGCCACCGCTCCTCCGCAGAATTGCCTTTGGGGAAGCTTCAACACCACCAATTCCCTCCTGCATTCGCGTACCCCTGAACGAATGACCCTGCTAGTGGTGCAGTTTTTCCCTTCGCCCGCCTCCCCCCCCCTTCCTTCTCCCCCCTAACTTTGATTTGATCAGGCCAAATCTGAAATGATGTGTGAAAGTAATGATATTTTGTAATTAAATCTCTGGTGATGGCGCCTCTAATTTGTGGTACATGCATTGTTCATAAGGAAAAAGGCATCAATTCATTTTCTGACTGGCTACTCCAGGGACTCGTAATTAGACCCAGTTCATCTCTTGCTGCCTTGCATATTAAAGAGCTACTGAAACGCAAAGGGAATTTGGGAAAGGTTTTTTTTTTTTTTTTTTTTTTTAAACCTTCTAATAATGTTAGCTCAATTAGAAACTCAGAAATTAAAAAAAAAAAAAAAAAAAAAAAAGAGAAAGTTCTGGATCATCCAGAAAATAGAGGCTGAATTTTTAGCAAGCTGGCCAGGTCAGGGTGTTCACTACTGACCCACTGTGAGACCAGGGGCCAGTTTTCCCTCTTCCCTTAGAAACTGGGGTATTTTTGGTAGGATTTGTGGAAGAAAGCCATGCTATATGAGGCACAATCCTGTCTTAAGATGCTGCCCTTCTGCTCAGTCTCCAAAATGAAAGGGAGAAAACTTCGGCTTGCTACGATTTGAAGCGGATCATCAAGGAAACGCCTCGGAGAGCACACTGCTGGGGACAGGGAGATGAGCCAGCAGGCACACAGGTTGTTTTGTAGGATCTGTGCTATAAATGCTTGTTTACCTTCTGCACTATTGTACATCCACAGAATTTGCTGGGAGAATTTTTTTTTAAAACTGAGTCTTGGAAGGAATACAGTCAGCTCTGTCGTATTTACCAAATAACGTAATAAAAGCAAATTCAGAAGGTACTGGCAATTATAAGCACCAACCCCCAAAGATTCCCCAAGCTTCCCACTTACAGCAGCCTGAGAAACTACATTCCCATCCCACAAGGATTTAAGAACAAACTCTCCCACTGAACTAGTACAAAGTTGAATTCTCAAAAGCACTTGTGTCCTGATCACCCAGAAAAACAAGTCGCTTGGGTCACAAGTATTTTGGTTGGGTCTTTTTAACACAAAATAGATTAACCTTGGTGGTGTTTGCTTCCAAAGGGGAAGCTGCTTCAATTTAAGAATCAAAAGCTTTAGTGCAAAAATGCCGAACCCAGACATGGACATTTTCAACGCTTTTCTTCCCCTTCAGTCACTTGTCAAAGAAAAGTGATTTTTGGGAGGAGTTTGGCCATTATTGACAGCACCTTGCTGACTGCAGATGACCTGTTGTGGCCGTGCCCACTGCTGCAAGCCCCTTGTGCTGGTGGCACCCAGCTGCC